AAGAGGGATGAATGGGAAAGGGATATTTGATGGAGTTTAGAATAGTTGAAAGGGTAGGAAATGGTACAAGCAAACCTGTGCTGTCCAACATCACTTAACGTTTTCTTCATTCTTATCATTCCATATAACTCATTATAGATTCATGTTGGGACAATGACTTTGATGCTTTTGTCTGCTTCACAATGCCATTTTAAATGTACAACGCCCACTATCTTATTCAATTTCAATTTCATATTGCAATTCAGAGAAATATTTCTTTATTAGTTTTATTTTTTTAATTTTAAATTACCTTTTCATTCTTCTTCTTTTTCACCACTGTGTTCATGTCCAAGCCCCGCTACTCTACGCAGTCCCCACTAACAAAAATTAGGAAGCAAAGCCATTTTTATTGTGGACATTGTAAATTTCATTCTGAAAAATTCCTTCATTGGAAATGCCATAAAGCATCAAAGAGTAGAATTAGGGGCGGACCTACTAGAAGTTCAGTGGGGACGGCCTTTCCCACTCAATTTTCAGATTTTCAGTTTTTCTCCAATTTTTTTAGATTTTCAGATTTTTTTCCAAAATTCTTTGGTTTCGTCCCCACTGGACTTCCGTCCTAGGTCGGCTCCTGAGTAGAATATGAGGAACAATAATTGCAATATTATTTGAGAAGAAACAGTGCTACTAAGATCATATATTCCAACTTCCTAATGTGTTTCTGGGCCCACTAGAAAAGGCCTGTTACAAATGAATCGTGTACAACCTACCTTTCAATTGGGCCAACCAGTGAGGCTTCATTAAATAATTATGTGGGCCTCCGCAGACGTTCCTTAAGTTTTTTTTCATTTATTAAATAAAAAAAATAAAAATTATTGACATTTTGAATATGTATAACTTTTTAAACTTAAAATAGTATGTTTGGGCCTCATTTTGTTTTTGTCAAAATGCATTTTGGAATAATATTTTGATGGATAATGCGTGGTTAAAAAATAAGAAAAAGTTTTTGAAAGTTCAGAGAACGTTTTACAACTACTTGAAAATTCACAGGAATACATTACTATGTCAAATTCAAATTTTAGCGTTACCAAGTTTACGTTCCAATTTACCGTTTGATCTTACGTGCGGAATTAATACAATTAATTGTAACAAGTCACAAATTAATTGTTGTCTAGGTGATTAAACATACACGTCCAATTAAGCCTATGTTGAATTGTCGGTTTGCGTAAAGTAAATAAAACAGTAACAACACCAAAAATAAAACAGTAACAACACTAACTTACAAGATGATGACGAAGAAACCCCAACGTGGGTAAAACTTCGGGACCAAACCAGTAGTTTCCACTATACCAATCCAGCCAGTACAAGTTATGCCGAACTCTGTACCAAGTCAGATCCGTTGTTCCAGTCTCACGATCTACTGTTGTAGATACTGCTAGTCTTCTGCTAGCTTCCCGATCTACCTCCTGCAGCCCAGTCTGCTGTCCAATAAGCCTCCTGATCTTTAACTGATTGTATCACCAAGTGGAATTCCAAGAACCTCTTGTTCTTGTCCAGTTCCTGCGCTTGTCGTCCACCTCTCTCAATTTCCTAATAAGAGAGTCCTTTACTCAACAGATGAAGAAGTCCAGGTGTTTTGTCTTCACAAATAATGATGTTTTCCCCAACAATGGATTGCTCGGGTCATAAAGTGTTTATGGATGAATTCCTTGCTCAATTCTGCCTTGGATCACTTGAGAGAATATCGAAGAGGATATCTATGTAAAGCACAATATGGCAATATCTCTTTCACGTTTACGGCCTTTGTATTTATAGTTTGAGGCAATTAAGAGTCCTAGGCCGTGTCAAATTTTCCAGAAATACGATTTTCCATATAACACCGTCGCTCGGGCGAACAGCGAGTGATGCCACTTCACTCGAGCGAACATCGAGCGGCGAGCGACGACCATTCTGCTTCCTCTCGTTCGAGCGGTGGCAGAGCGAACAGCTAGTGAACTTTCGGCGCCGCGACCTTGACTTGAACCATACACTCAAACCCTAGTCCCTACAATCTGGCTTTGCTAAATTGCACCTTAAGTCCTTGACTTTTATAACATTGTACAATTGAGTTCCTGACTTTTACAAATTTACAATTTAGTCCTTTTGTCCACAGAATCGCCAATTACACCTTTAGACCTAACAGTTTTGAACTTACACGTAATATTATTTTATTGAAGAACATTTGAAATATATTAAAGTATTTAAAAGTCTATGTATTCATTGTACAGAATATAGCATACTAAATGATTTGATCCAAATTTTTTAAATTGAAGAATTTTATTGTGGGAAGTAAAGTAGAATTCTTATCTCACGACAAAAAGGGGGAAAAAACATGGAAAGAACTCTTATGGTAGAAGGAAATAATATTTGAATATGAGAAAAAAATTTACCAAAAGAGTACAGGGATCTTTTCATTAAATTCATGGCGTTGCATTGAGATTGATTGTGCCTAGCACCAAGGTGACATGAAATCACGTCGTTAAAAATTGAGAGCTTAGAAAAAAATATGGAGAGATAAATTACAGAAAAATGATAAACATGTTTGTAACATACAGTGAATAATCTAGTTTTGTGTCCGAAGAAGTTGTGAGTATGAAAAAGTATTGCATCGTGATTTCTTAGCTAATAAAATTTTCTTCTCATGTTGTCCGTTAGCGACTTGTCATACCTTTAATTCATGTTTCTCTCTCTAGTTCACTTTTCGTGTTTTTAGTTTTTTGTTCTACTACATTAGGTGGGATTTTTTCCAACAAGTAGTATCAAATTTCATGGTTCAAACTATTGGATTGCATCGAAGATGATGACAATTTCTAATTTCAAGATAACGCTTGGTTATACATGAGGCGTAGTTGCAGTGATCGAGTTATATTGATTGTGTGACACCTAGATGGAGCAATGATAATCAAGTCACAAAGACGTAAAACTGTGATCAAGACACAAAATATGACTTTTGGCTATTGTTAAAGATTGTAAAAATATCTAAGACAAATTTTTGATGATTGAATATTATAGTATGAAAAAGTCAAATTACAAAATCAAGTTTGATTAGCTTTGAATTTCACTACGTCTGTTGCTATTGATTGAAGAATTATGGCATCGAATGGTCAAGGGGTGTGATGATGCGTATTGAGGAGTGGCATGATTGAGAAATTTTGGATCAAGATGAAAATTGTTGGATTTGACTCAAATTTATCAAATAAAATAATTCTAGAATAAAAAGGAAAAAGAATAGATTATAGAAAATAAGTCTTGCATTGAGAAATTATCGTGTTTGACACCGAGTGACTTGAATTCGGCACAACTTTATGTGCATCCAAACTTGTAAGAATTTAGATATAGAATATACACAGAGGAAGATTATAGAAAAATGGTACAAAAGTTGTTGCGAATGTTGAGCACTCTAATTTTGCTTAAGGACAAGTTGTGAGAATGAAGAAAACGTTGTATTGCAAGTTTTTCTGAGACGATAAAGTCTTAGTCTCTCGTGATCTTCGGTGTTTTGTCCAACTTTGTTTAATTCATTTGCACTATTTCTAACTCATTTTTAGTGTTTTTCATTTTTGTTCCACTGCGAAAGGTGGGGATTTTCTTCCCAACATCTGCTTATGCATTGCTGTAAATTGGAAACAAGGTTTTACTTTTATCTTATCGTTTGTTATGTTAAACAAATACTTGAAATTCTTCGACAATTATTGATTTTGACAAAGGGCCTATTGAGAGAAGACAAAATATGTACGATTTCGCTCACTACCTATCATTTTAATGGTCGGAACAATATTTTGAAGTTAGAATATTCAGTCTTCTAGTGAATAAATTTTTTATTATATAGGAGATTACAAGTCTTAGCTTATGGGCATGTTTGTGAGTGATTTTTTCTCCCAAAAAATTGATTTTTTGATTGTTATTTAACTATTTCAGTCCTCATAATTGATTTATTTTCTCACAGATGGACCCTAGTTTTCTCCTAATAGTCAAAAAATTAATTTTTAAAATCACTCTCAAACAGGCTCTATATTTGGTTCACGTATTTCGAAAAAAATACTCATAAATTTTTTGTTTAAATATTTCGAAAAATTAACAGGTATTATTCATCCATCATTTTTATATATTTATTATTTAAACTGTTTATAAACACTTCTTAAAATGCTTTTAGTAAAAAGATTTAGCGCATGTATTGTTTGGATAAAAATCAGATTTTTAGAAGATTTTGATAAAAGTTAAAGAAAAGTGTGTTTGAAAAGTTGATAAAAATTGATGTTATGATTGAAAATAAATGTATAAATAAATAAATTTTTAAAAATGGGGGCCGAATAAGAGCTTAAAGTTATCCACATTGTTGACTAAAAGTCCACATTTTTTTATCGAGATCGAATTTTAATTTATTTTGAATATTCTGAATAACCATGAAAATTCTCTACTTTCATTACCAACGCCAAGCAACACCATTACGAGAAGGAAAATTTTCTTATCTATTCAAATGCATTTATAGCTTGAGCTTCTATACGAGCTTACCAATCAATTTTATTTAGGGTTTGTTTGAGTCACATTATTTTAAAAAAATATATTATTCAACAATAATTTGATATCATTTCAACCACAAATTATTCAATAAATTAATATTACACGCAAACCACATATTTCTCATTGATTTAACATAAATAATGTATTTTTTTTCTAGAATGGGCTCAAACATGGGCTTAGTTAAGCTAAAAAACTAATTCAATTATTAGTTAAAGTTGACAATTAAATTTTAAATATATATTTTATGAAACTCACAATTGTTCAATCACACACTTCATCAATTTTTATCAAAATTTACAAAAAATTTCTATCTAATCAAATAGTGGCTTAATAGATAACGTAAGTGGAAAGTGACCATTTTCTTAAAAGTGATCGTTTTGTTAAGCTGTTAGCGAAGTCAATATATGGATCGGTTAGTGCTATTTTTGTCAATTATCCTGGTGTACAGACATCACGGGCTTCAAGGCCTAAAACATTTATGAGTAGCAAAGAATTTGCCAGTGCAGAGTGCTGGCACTGACGAGCTCGGGGCCAAATATACTCATTCTTCTTCTGTGGAAATCTTAAATTAGGGTTGCGGTTAGGGTTCAAGATGCCTCGTTACAGTGGAAAAGATGACAGGAGATCAATACCGTACGATTCGTCCAAAGATCGGAGTTCTCGTCATCATAAGGTCATTTTATTTACTGACCTATGCAAATTATAATTGTAGTCAGAATTTTCCGTTAATTTCAATTTCCACATGATTGATATTGTGATTACGATCATGAGTCCGCATCTAACGATAGCTTTGAGCAAAAAGAACGAGCCTTTAGTTGACTGATATCATCAGATAAATTAATTACCTGGACTTCAAACTGTATGAAAGAATTTGACAGTAAAACACGTTGGACGGTGATTGTATTGGAAGTATTACTTTTTAGTAATTAATGGGAAGTACCCATCAGAGTATGATATGAAAATTGAGGGGAAGGTCTATGAATGATAGTGGACGTGTTGTTCCCAAGTATTAGAAAGTAAAGATAATAATAACTGTAGTGGGGTTCCCATAGCTTGCCAAAGAGCACAACTTTTCGCGCAACTATGTATATTGATTTTACTTATAACTTTGAAAGGGGGATAAGAAAGGAAGAAAACAAAAAACGAAGAGTGATATGAATTTCAAATGAACTTGTATTGTATGTAAAGCCACATAATTCAAATGTAATGGATCACTCGGCAAAGTAGAAGCATAACGTCAATTTCTAGTTGGAGACTTGACATTGTAGTGCTGAACTGTTAATTAATGATGTTTAGTCAATTTTTGAAGGAGCACTCTTCATAAAAATGTACAATTGATTGCATTATGCTAATAGTTTTCTGGCCTTTAAAAAGTTTATAATGCAAAAATGTTGATGTTGAATTCTGGGTTGTGCAGGACGAATTTCTTGAGTTAGATGACAAAAGATTAAAGAGAAGAGAGTGGAATCAAGATAGGACGAACTATTCCAGAGACCATGGGAACAGTTCGAGAAATTACAGAGGAAGAAGCAAATATGAGGATCATGGTCGTCCACGGAATTATGAATTTGGCAGGTTATGATTGGGTTAAGTTGTCATACCCTGTGATGATTGAAACAATTAGTTTGCCATCCATAGCTTGTGTATTTATCCTCAAATGATTTTTTCCCTGCTTCCTGCGTCAAATTGTTCCTTTTTATATTTACATATATGGACTGGTATAACCAATTTATATGATGTGCTTATATACAACTAAGTTGAAAATATCATGTGCGACTTACTTATAACAATTGTCACTTCACAGGCATCATAATTATGACAAGGACAGAGAAAAGCATCATAGACAAAGATCACCCTCTCGGTCAGATGATGAATCTCATAAGCAATCTAGATCTTTGTCAAATTCTCCTTCTCGTCCACGGAGGTTTGGAGCTTTATATTACCCTTAAACATTTCTATTCCGATCATCGTCTTAAATATTTAGTGCTTATCCATTTTCTAAAGGGCTTTGATGGCTTGCTTTTGATCATTGTTATCATTTTGTGTTTATCTCATGTCCTTGTTCCTCCTTGTTATAGAAAATTTGCCATAATATATGGCCTTCTAGAGCTAGAATCTTGTGGAGTTAGTTGTGTAAAATCTTTGAAGCCCCCTATCATGACACCGACTTTCCCAAACTCTAAAAATCTCCTTTTCTATCTATGATTTGTTTTGGGCATTATGAGCTGTCTGTCTTTTTTCTCAGCAAGCGGACAACTGGCTTTGACATGGCTCCACAATATACTGCTCCATTGCTTGGAGTCTCAGGTTTCACCTTTAGTCCTTAGCTATATGCCTAGCTAACAATCTGTTTTATCACATATATGGTACAACATTTAGTTTTAAGTATGTTCTGATTTGTGCTTTTGTCTCTTGCTTTACATTTTGTCTTATATTTTTCTGATGATCATCCTTACGGTACTAAGAATCATCGTCGTGTGCTGTTGTGTGTGGTTCTATGTTTTTGATTTGTTACCATTTCGGTAAGAAGGCAATATTGAGGTTCATATCCTGCTATGCTTCTCATGGGAGTGAGGAATGTAGATTATATGCCAACGAGGAATCAATGCTTCACTAGCTGGATATTTATCATCTTCAACCGCAAACGTTGTTATCTGGTAGACTTGAATTGTTATGCCAGATCTGCAGTGGTGAAATTTATGTCTTACATTAGAATCTGAGTGGTATATAACTCTAGGTAAGAAATAGGTTTTCTGCTTCTTGACTTCAATCTATTTACAGCAAGTTAGTGTGACAATTTAGTGGGAAGAAGACCTGGGCTTTTAAATGGTGTTGCTTTGTTCCTTGTAGTTACAGCACATTTAATTTCTCAAAGTTCAATATATGTGCTATTATCATATTTATCTGTGATCGCGCAGAACAATTGAAAGGGTTTCCCCTAGCTCCTGAAGCAGTCTCTGGAATGTTTCATAGCATGTTTACCTCTGAGACAACTCAGGTTCACACCGAGTTCATTGAGTAGTCCTCTCTTTTTCCTTTTATTTTGTGCTATCTTTATAAATTGCAGAAGGTTACCATTATTTTTCTTATGAAAGACGGCATGCTAATAGGTTAACCAGTTGGGTTACAGTCCATTGTTGCCAATCCAAGCCATGAGTCAGCAGGTAAACCAGTAATGCTTCATCTTCACGTGCTTATGTAATTTTGAATTTTCTTCTAATCTTTACTTTGTCCCTAGGCTACAAGGCATGCACGTCGAGTGTATGTTGGTGGCCTTCCACCATTGGCTAATGAGCAGGTATGTATGATTCTCCTCCTTTACCCTGAACCTTTTTATTTCTGCATTTGCAGTTAGTTTTAACAGATTTGTCAATGTGTTGATTGTGAATCCTTTTAATAGTTTTTCATATCTTTTAGCCCATCTCAGTTTTTAAATTTTCCCTATTTTTTCTAAAATCTTCCCCTCCTTTTTTTTTTTTTGTGTGCATGTCATGTTATTTTTGGTCTTCTTGGATCTGTTGTGTGCCAGCATTTGTGGGGCATGTATATGGTGCTATAGATATTCCTCTTGACAACATATCTTTCAGATATGTCAAGAGTCACCTTAAAAATCAGATGTCAGTTTCGAATCAAAGAAATCAACATTGCATCTGTACTTCATAATGTTATTCTCCTACCTAAAGATAGATGCGAGGTTGGTCTGTTATGCAATGTTCTCAAAAATGGACCGTGATGGATTTGGCCAAGATTCTTCTCACCCTATGAAGACATATCTTATCTCTCTTGCATGAAAATGTAACTTGAAATCTTTCACGAGATAATTAAGATTTAGTCTCAACTTGTTTTTACAAAGTTTCAATAGCTATTTTGTATATAGAAATGAACTTTCCATGTCGCTGTGAGTTCCAGCAGAGATATATTAACCTTTGGCATTAGATTACTATCTGGACTGAATAAGTAGATATTGTTGTTTATAGGCTATTGGCTTGAATTACCTAGCAAACTTTTATGATTTCCCCATTTCTTTTTGCTTAAAGAAATAACTCTTAAGTTCTCTCGCCTATTTTGTTGCATTTGAAACAGACAATTGCAAAGTTTTTCAGCTTTATTATGACTGCAATTGGAGGAAATTCTGCTGGTACAGGTCAGTAGCTTTTGATGCTTGTTGTAACTTTAAACATGTCAGCCTTTTCCTCACTTTTTAACATAGTACTGATAATTTTTATCTTAGGTGATGCGGTTGTAAATGTGTACATTAATCATGAAAAGAAGTTTGCATTTGTGGAGATGAGAACTGTTGAAGAAGCAAGTAACGCTATGGCGCTTGATGGAATTGTGTTCGAGGCATGCCGAGCCTCTCTTCTTCTCTTCTCTTTTACCTTTATCTTATTTAGTTTCTCTTTTCTTCAATTGTTTGGGATAAAAATAGATTTCAATGGAATAGGGATGTCAATATGTCATAAACCTTTTAAGGAGCAACCAGAGTACCTGTTAGATAATTTACCAGTATCGCTGACCAGAACCACGATTTAAGTGGCTCCTTTGGCCATATTCTCGAAGTTCAGTTCCACTTGGCAACAAACATTTTCTCTTTCTTGGATTGATGGTTGTGTAATTTATAGAGAGGACAAACAGGGTTGGGAAGGGGTTTGATGAGGACTTAAAAGCTGCGAGGTTATACAAGAAGTTATGTTTCATATGTTGTTCTTGTAAAATCATTGTTATGTTACGATATTGATAACATAGCCCGTGTGCAGGAAGGAATTTCACACTGCTTCAAGACCTGCACCACAATTTTATTTAGGATGCCAACTTTAAGATGGGTGATGGTCTTTCTGTTTCCCCAGACTGGTTAATGTTTCAGAATATGGTTGACTCGGCCTCCTTTTAGATGCTAAGATGTTGAATTTACAGTGGGAAAAATGTAACCTAGAGACCAAAATAAATAATGTCAAACTCTCAGCATATTTCAACTTTCACATATGGTTTCTCTGCACAGACGGGGCTTCTACTGGAGTTGGCGTGGCTTCACTCTCTCATTACATTTTATTGAACAAGTTTTTCACCAGCTCGGCCTTTCAGCTGTAAAGCTTAGTTTAGCTATAACCAATTCATATCGAATTTTAAAAATAAACAATGTTGACTCAAAATCTAAAGTCAGTGATCATTAACACTATGGTTGGTTTTGTAATTTCTTGTACCTATGAAGTAATGTCTCCATTTCTCTTACTATAAGGGACAGTATATATCTAATTTCGAACTACAGAAGAACATTTCACCAATGCTAATAACATTTGCAAATGGTTTTATTCATCTCTTGTTTTAAGCGTCATTTGCCTTAACCAGCACTAATCGATAGCACAAACTTCAAGAAACTAAGATTTCCAAGCCGCATGGCTGTTGATTCTATATACCCAGATAGTATTCTCTTCAGACTTTCCCCAAAATAGCCATAAAAGAAAATACCTACTAAATCGATCACAAGAGTATTAGTTACAATCCCTATTATCCAAAGAGGAATCCTTCCAGCAGTGTCGGCCATTTACCATACTTCCTTCCGATTTCATACATTCTAGATGCGTAGATGCTTCACATCTGGTTACATTTCTAATCTTTAATTTTTCAAACTTAAAGGTCAAAAATTCTAGTCAGAATCGCCTAATGATGCATGGAGAAACTCTCTTCTTTTCATTGCTTTTTTTGGGTGAGGAAGAGGGAGGGGGGCACTGATAATGTCCGTCAACACTATGCAACATTCTGTATGCATTTGCATGAGGAAAAATTTGTCGCTTTCTTGTTTCTTTATTAATGTAGGATGTTTTAATTATTTATTTTCTATTTTGTTGATGCCTTTTTATGAGTTTTATTGTCAACTTTGTTACTTGGTCAGCAAGGTTAAAACTTAAAACTAGGGCATCTATGAAACCAGGCTTGAGCTATACCATTTTACTATTAATGTCTGATATGATTCAGAGTCTGTTATTCTGGAGAATTATGTTCTCGTCACTTGGTGTCTATTCAGAAATCTCTAATCTTTGACATAAATCAAAGTTTTGTCTGCTCTCCTAGGCTCTGGACTATGATAATGTTTCTTTATCTTAGTGTGTTTTTGAATGGGATATAATTTTAAAACTCTATGCTTGAATTCAGAAGAATGCTAATCTGATAAGCTTGTGACTCTCTAAAAGCAAATATATTTTCTAATCCATCATTGAAATCTAGTGGTTGGAATGAGACTTTGATTTTCCAAATTTTTCCCATCTATTATTCTTCTGCATTTGATTAATTCCCAAAAATTAGGTCTTGAGTAACAAAATATTTCAAACTAGTTGCATTTTCTTACCAAAATTTCAAAGACACGTGGCGTGAAAAGACATGAATTTATGAGCTCCGTGTTTCCCATCTGACATTTTTATTTTTTTGATTGTATTAGGGTGTTTCTGTAAGAGTTCGAAGACCTACAGACTATAATCCTTCATTGGCTGCAGTGCTTGGTCCCAGCCAACCAAGCCCTCACCTCAATTTAGCTGCTGCTGGACTTACACCAGGGTACACGGCTTTTATTAGTTCTCTCCGTCTTTTGCACCATAATAGCAGTTTTAGTTCAATTATAGTAGGATATCCTGCCATATCGAGTTTTTAAATATTCTACAGTTTGACAATTTGTTGTATAGCAAGTGTCGGTAATTATTCAGCAAATAATTTGGATATGATTGATCTTAAATCCAACAGAATGTATATCTGGGGGCAGAATGCCATTAGATTGGTAGTAACTGAGAAATAGGATTTGACTTACCTTGGCTGAAAATAGGAAGGTTTTATCCTCAAGGTTGCAGGTTAAGGCTGTTTATAACAATTGAACTCACTTGTGACCTGAGAAAAGCAGGCATTTTACAGAGCAACACAAACCTGGGGATCTTCCAAAAGGGCATGATATTCTTGAGCTTGGAAAATGAGCAACTCATCCATGGGATGGGGTCACTGGAGAAGATTAGACCACGACTTTCTAATTGTTTGGGGTGATATAAATACAATGAACCTCCTTGGTGATAATCTCCAGATATGGGTGACCATCAGGTCAGGTTGGCTGGGTTAAGGAGCTGGTTGAGTGTTGAGATTCATACATGCTGCAATTTAAATTTCTTTTCTTTTCTGCGTGAATATGATTGACTTGACATGCCTATATATACAATAATATAACCTATACTTATATGAATTTGTGTGTGGTTAGAAGTCCAAAGTCGTGTAAAAGTAAGGAAGTTAAATATGAATAGACTTTTCATGGAATTTGGATGTATATAGGTATAGGATAGCATGGCATGCAATTATGACTTATCTATTTCTAGCAAAACTTTATTTAAGTGAGATGGAGTCTAGGAGACAAAACCGTAAGTACACTAAGGAGGAAACAACTAGTGGTATTTGAAGTGTAATATAATTAATACCTACCACAACCACAAGTGGATTCAAGACCAACAACTAACATCTGAAGGTGGAATTTGCACATACCTACACGTGGCTAACTCTCTTGCAAATTCCAATTTGAATAAAATATTAATAAATGACAATTTCTTGAAGCTTCAATATCTTGGTCCTAACTTATCCAATTCAACTTGTTTTCTCGAGTCAAAGACTTCTAATTAATTACAACCTACAAAATAAGTCCAATATTGATATACTAAATCTCGTTCCATCCTTATCTAATTACTTAGCCTAAATAAAATAGGAGTTTAAAACATATTCATTTTTAGTCCCCCAACTTTTCTAAATATAACATAAAACAATTAAATTTCATTCTAAAAAATTTCGGGTGCTACAAACCTTGACGCAGTAGCCTTATCAATTATGTCAGTATGTGACAGGTTTTTGGCTTTTGGTTGTGGAAGAAGCTGCCACCCCACATCCAGAGCTTTGTCTTTCGTCCCGACATCAAGATAGGAAATATTACTAATTGAGAACTAGGTACAGTTGATGAAGGACAAAGCTTCTCTGGAGCTAGCCTTCTCGGGCTGAAAAGATGTGATATGTGGGCTCCACATTACATAATGGTTCTACTTGTGACCTTAATAACTATTAACAATGTTGATAAACTAGTCATATCTTCCTTAGATCTTGTCAGTACCTTGTTCTCCAATCTTCTTTATCAGGGTTCAATCTCATTTTGCCTGCGTGTTATCTTCTTTAGTTGGAATATATCTTGTTGGATAAATGATTGTAATTTCTTCACATAGAATGGAGCTGACTCTTTACTCTAAATTGTTATTTTGATTTTTTGATAGCATTACTGGTGAAACCGAGGGAGCTGATCGTATATTTCTTGGTGGGGTACCGTACTATCTCTCTGAAACCCAGATAAAAGAATTGTTGGAGTCTTTCGGGTATGACGTTGAGTTTGTTTGCACTGTTGAGTGACCGAGTTCTTGGTAGAATACTTATTATAATATCTTATCATCTGAAGCAGCGTTGTCTCATAATGGATTTATTTCAGGCCTTTGCGTGGTTTTGACCTTGTTAAAGATAGGGAGACAGGGAATTCCAAAGGATATGGTTTCTGCATCTATAAGGTACAAAAAGCTGATGCTAGACATATGCTGGGGTTTATCCCAAAATTTATCTGTTCAGCAGTGTATCTCAATATTTATCTGTTCAACTTCTTAACACATCGTTAAACTTAATTTCTTTTTTGGTATAACAGTACCTATGGCATGAGTTCCAAAGTTATTCGTGTTTTCTGGTTCGCTTTTTGAGTTTTTGCTTAAACTTGTGACCGAATCTGTTTACTTGAAGATACAAACCTTTTTTGGGCTCCATTTTAGTGAGGTTTTGGGAAAAATGTATTTTAGAATAGCAATTTTGGGGAGAATGTGGTTAAAAAAGAAGGAAAAGTTTTGGATATACGTGTAATATTATTTTTTGGAAGAATGTGTGGTTGAAAAGAAGAAAGAGAAAAATGTAATAAATTTTAATGGATCCCAAACAGAGGCATATTCTCATTTCTTGAATCTACAATTAGATGTTAAGTTTTCTGTTCTTTCTGGCTTCTTGAATGTCAGTAGGCCTCAAGAGACGTTATCTATTATGATGCTTTTCTTAATTTATATTGCTGAATTAGGTTTCATATGATGTTTGACCACCTAATCAATTCAAGTTTACTTCAGGATCCTGCTGCAACAGATATTGCTTGTGCTGCTTTAAATGGCTTAAAAATGGGTGATAAAACCCTGACTGTTCGCCGGGCGACCATGAGGTTGGTTCTCTTTGATTGAAAAGCTCCTTATTCACAGCACAGATGTACTATATTTGTGTCCCAGATGCTTTTAATTAGCCCCCAGTTTGAGCTCCATTTTTTTCAAAACTCAAACCACACATTCCCCTATAAAATAATTTTACACGTAAACGAAAAACTTTTCCCTATTTTTTAACCACACATTCTCCAAAAATTCACTATTTCAAAACAAATTTCCCCCAAAAAGGGGGGGCTCAAATGGGGGCTTAATCTTCTTCAGACTTTCTGCAATGTCTTAGTTTTCATACTTTAATCAATTGTTTGCTATTATGTGCTGGAAGAATGTTGAGGATGGCCTTTTTCCATTTTTCATTTTTCTTTTTAGGGTTGGGGGGTTGTTGGTTAGAGCCTAGAGGAAAGATTTTGAACTGTAATAGGACGGTAGTTATTTAAGTTGGAAATATAAAAAATATGCGTTTGCCTTGTGGGAATCTTATGACAACATCTTGTTTGTTAAATAGTGTATAATTGTCCGAGTTATTTTTGGTTTCAGAAAATTGAGCTTTCTAGTTTCATACCTTTGTGCTAGAATTATCTCAACGTGAATGGAATCTGTCTGAACTTGGATTTTAATTTCGGACGATGACTTCTGTTGATTCTGTAAAATATTTTTAGAGAAATTTTCTCAGCATCACTAGCTGCTGTTGAAACTTAAGCGTCTTGTTTAGACAGTTATAACTTTAATTAAAATTTTGCTTTTATATGGCATTTATATTTTAGGCGATGAGGCATAAAAGGCTTAAATTTTGTCGATCTTGTGATTTCTGCTTTAAATCTTTTCATGTATAGCAGTATGTTTTGATGATATTTAAGTCCAGATACGCACCTTGACAACTCGTCGTTTTATCTTGTACAGCGGGCATGTGAAAACAGACCGGGAGGATTTGTTAGCTCAGGCACAGCAGCATATAGCCATGCAGGTTGAGATTCATCTCTTCTGATAAACTTTTGGTATTTCTTTTAGTATGGTTTTGGAGTTTGGTTAATTTGTGCCTTTGGTAGAAGGAAACGGCTTTTGGAGCTGGCCTTATGAATCTTTCGGGCGTGGAAAGTGAAGTAATGATAACTGCAGAAACTCCATCAAAGGTTTTGTGCTTAACGGAGGTACTTTAAGACTTCACTTCTCTATTTTGTTTATCCATAACAAGGTTGCAGTTATTGATGTCATTTATCATGTTTTGGCTTCATCAAGGTAATTAGTACAGACGAGTTGATGAATGATGGAGAATATGAAGAAATTCTTGAGGATATGAAAGAAGAAGGCCAAAAGTTTGGTATGTATATTCAACATTTTTTTTTCCCCCAGTTATTCTGTTGTGTACCTTTGATTTTGCTAGCTACTCAGATGACATCAATGTCTAGACCAGTGAAATTATTATTTATGGAGATGTTTTAGACAATACAAAGAAGTGGTTAATGTAAGATTTCTTAGGTTTTAATAGGCAGTTGGTTTGGAGAAAATCATGTATTGGGTGATTGATATGTGAGGCATTATTTGAATTGCAGGGAGTTTATAAGTTACTAGTTTTATGGAATATAGTAATATTCGCTTGAGTGGCCGAGACAACTTCACTTGCTGATCCAGGATCTTAGTTTGAGAGGTTGTAGCATTTGAATATTGGGAATCTTCTGGATTTGCTAATGCTATTAATTAATTTTAAGTTCCAACTGCCATATTATTTGTCCTCCATCTGATTCTGTTACTCTTTCCTGTTCCTCTTATATGTGTTGCTATTTTGAAATAATCTTCTAAACTCTAAGTTACATTTCATTATATCTAATCTATTATCTTTTTGTGAAACCACAGGAGAGTTGATTGATGTTGTAATTCCGCGGCCTATACCAAATGCCACCCTAAGTCATGGTCTTGGAAAGGTATGCAAGTGTTC